TGTTTTATTCTATGCGTCCATGTGGTTTTTTTATGGGCTATATATTTTAATGTACAATTCTTGCAAAACCCACAATGGTAAAAAAAAAATAATGATAATGATAATGATAATAATCATTAATAATAGATTAATTGAAAAATATATTATCCTAATTTAGTAATCACCCAAACCAAATAAAACAATTGAAGTTTATAATTTTAAATGTCAAGCTGTTTTTCTTATATGTATATATATTTTATTTTTTTTATTTTTTTATTTTTTTTTGTTTCATTCATCCACCACACTTACCCATCAAAATTAATACTCCTTAATTCAATTCTTTTATTTTATCTCTTAGCGTTTTTGATACACCCCCACATAATATTTATGTTTAAAAATTATAAAAAAAAAAAAAAAATTAAAATTAATGTCTCATCATTCAAAACATTTATTATCTGTTAATTTTAATTTGATTTTATTTATTTAAATATATATTTAATAAATACACACACTATAACTATCAATCCCCCATTTTTAACACCCACCCATTATCAAATAAAAAATAATATCAAAAATATCACACACAAAACCCACAAAACAAAATTGAAACAGATAAAAAAACAAACAAATAAAACATACACTCACCATTTACAGTCTACATTTTAAATTTTATTTTATAGTTAATAAAACACCCTATAATATTTTTTGTCGTTGTGATTTTTTTTTTTTCTTTTTCTTTGATATTTACCGAAATAAATTGAACAATTTAAAATTGTTTTTATATATATAATAAATTTATTTTATATTTTAAATAGAGTTTTAAAATTATAAAAGATATTTCCATAGAGTTGATTAAATAGTTATTAATATATTGACAGTTTTCAATAAAATCATAGCTTTAAAAATGAAAAGGTTTTTCTGTTTAAGAGATAAAATAGTTTATAGTTAAAAGTATAATTTAAAAATAAAAAAAATAAATTAATCAATTTAAAAAAAAAAAAAAAAAAGTATCTAAAAAAAAAAAAATTTTATTTTATTTTTTTTTCGTTTTTTAAATTTTTAATTTTTCATTTATACTAATAATTAATAATATTACTTACATAAATATACATTGTACAATGACTATAGCAGATTCAATAAGAAATATTTTAAAATATAAAAATAATATAGAGAATAATAACAATAATAATATAGATAAAAGTATTGATTATGAAAAAGAAATATATGATTTAAAAAAACAATTTTCTTGTTCACATAAAATATATACAGAAAATGAAACATCATCCTCAATAATACCACCAAATGAAGGGGATGATGATAATAAAAATTTAACAGAGACAGCAGAAGAACAACCAAAAAAAACATCAAAATATTTAGGTGCATTTATCCATAAACCATCCAACAAACTTTGCAGAGAAAATGTGGAAAAAGTTTTAAAAGAAGGTATGTAGTGATGTAAAAAAAAAAATAAAAAACCAAACCACTGTGTGTGTGTGGTTATATTAATATTCTATTTTTAAATTACTATCTAGATCCTATTTTACATTATATAATAAAAGAAATGATGTCATTAGGATGTTTACCACCAATTATTAAATGTGAACCATGTGATAATAGTGAATCATATGGTAGTTATTCCCCATATAAAGGTATTTTAATTTGTGACAATATTCAAACTTTCCCATTAAATATTAGAAACTCTGTAGTTCACGAGTATATTCATGCATACGATATTTGTAAAAATAAATTTGAACCAACAAATTGCGAACATATAGCTTGCACCGAGGTAATTATTAATCATTATATAAAAAAAAAAATAAATGAGAAAAAATCTAACCCCAAAAAAAAATTAAAAATTAAAAATAAAAATCTCAAGATTAGGGCAGCTAATTTAAGCGGTGATTGTAAATGGCAAATGGAAGCACTCAAAAAAAATTATGGTGTCACTGGTCATCAAATAGAATGTGTAAAAAGAAGAGCCATAGGTTCACTAAAATTAAATCCATTATGTAAAGGGGTTGCTGAAGAAATGGTTAATAAAGTTTGGAGCAAATGTAGCGAGGATTTTTATCCATTCTCTTCAATCCCAAGAGATTAGGTCCTTACGTGCGATACGATTTCATATCAAAATAAAACCACAAATTTTTTAAAAAAAAATATTTCAAGAAAAAAAAAAAAAAAAAAAAAAAAAGAAAAAAAGATTTTTTTATTTTATTTTATCAACGCCACAACAATAATAATTTTTTATTTTTTTTAATTTTTTATTTTAATTTTTTTTTTTATTTTTTTTCTTTAATTTTTAAATAAAACAAAACTAAGTTTTTCTTTTTGATATAATATCAACAAATACAACCCCCACATAAATAAACACAAAAAAAAAAAAAAAAGATCAATCACCACACACAAAATATAATTTTAGAATTTAAAAAAATAATTTTTTTATTCTTTTTTTTTTTTTTTTTTTTTAATTATTATTATAATAAAATTTTTCATGATTAATTAATTTTAATAAAACAATTTTAAAATAAAAAAAAAAACCATACTTTTTTTTCTATTTTATTTTTTATTACACATTTAATCAAAACACACACCTCACACCAATTAATTAATTAATTAAACAATTAAATATAAATAAAAACAAAAAAAAAAAACAATTAAAAGGATAAAAAGAATATTATAATAATTCAAGATGGATAATGAATTGAAAGATTTAGAGTTAGATGACAGTAATGATAGTGATCAAGTTCAAGATGAATATGATTATAATAAAAGCGATACAGTCGATTTTAGATCCAAACAAATTCCTCAGCAATCTGCATTACCACCCTTAAATTCAAAAAATGAAAGAAACACATTTAGAGAATCAATGACTGTATCAAAACAAAATATTGGCTCATATGTTATGGGTGACCTATTAGGGAAAGGTGGCTTTGGTGATGTATTTAAAGGTAATTATTTTAATATTCTTTTTATTCATAGTTTTATTATCCTTTTTATATTTATTTTTTATTAATTTTTCTTTATTTTATTTAGGTTTAAATACATTAACTGGTGATTGGGTTGCAATTAAAAGATTTTCAAAATCAAAAATATTAAAGGATCAACATTCTTCTGTTTCAGTAAGTAGCATTTTATATTATATTTTGGCAAAGTTAATAAAACTAATATTAATAATTATTTTTATTATTTTAGACCGAATTTGAATTATTACAAAGATTAAATCATGAATGTGTAGTTAGAATTTTAGGTAAAGAGGAAGATGAAAAATATATTTATATCTTTTTGGAATATATGGAAAATGGATCATTATCAACTATTTTAAATAATTTTGGTACATTTCCAGAAACTTTAGTTTGTACATATATGGAGAATGTTTTAAGAGGTTTGGTTTATTTACACAGCGAAGGTAAAAATTATTATTATTTTAAAAAATGACATTTCAAAACTAACATTTTTTTATAATCCACAATTTATAGGTGTAATTCATAGAGATATTAAAAGTGGTAACATTTTAATAAATAAAAATCAAGCAAAGCTTTCAGATTTTGGTGTTTCTGCGGAATTAAAAGAATCTGATAAAAGATACTCTGTAGTGGGTACACCATATTGGAGTAAGTTTTTTTTTAAAATTAATGATTTACAATTAAAACAAATATTAATTTTTTTAAAAATTATTTTATTACAGTGGCACCAGAGGTTATTGAAATTTCAGGACATTGTCAAGTTTCAGATATTTGGAGTGTAGGTTGTACAATTATAGAGTTAATTACAAGTTATCCACCATATTTTGATTTAAATCCAATGTCTGCAATGTTTAGAATTGTTCAAGATGACCACCCACCACTCCCAAAGAACATATCGAAAGAGTTGAGGGATTTTTTAGGTAGATGTTTTGTTAAATCTGTAGAAGAAAGAGCAACAGCAAAGGAATTATTAAGTCATGAGTGGATTACAAAAAATAGAACCAATATAATAAACCATCAAAGAAATACATCAAAATCAGGCAGTGGTAATTTTATAATACCAAATATAACCATAATGAATGAATCAGGAAATGGTTCACCAAATAGCAATAACGATAGTGATAGTGAAAATACAAATAGTTTAGGTATATCAAATCAAAGTTCAAGATCATCATCATTTATTGGTAATGACGACGAAAGTGACTCAAAATCACAAACCATTGTAGCATTTAAATCAAGTTCATCAACACCAACAAACAGCGGTACTAGTGGTGTAAGTGAAATTGAATACAATAAGCAACAAATGGAATTGAAATTATTAAAATTCAGGGTAGCAGAATTAGAAAAAGAACTAAACGATGGATCAGAAAAACTAAAAGAGTCAGAAACGAAATATAAAGAAATTTTATTAAGCTCAATGCATTATATTTATATTGTAGACAGTACAATGAACTTATCAGGCAACCAAATCAAACCAAATATATCCAATGAAATAAATCATCTATGTAAAATAATGAGGGAACAAATCGAAACAGAATATTATAGTGCCTATCCAGACCGTGACTTGGTACCAAGGTTTATTCAGCGTAGGTTCACAAGAGATTCATTTGAACTAATGAACAATATCCCCAAAAAAGCATTAGAGGCTCAAAAAAGAAGAGAAAAAGAACAAGAAAAATTAGAAAAGAAAAAACAAAAAGAAAAAGAAAAGCAAAAAGACAAAAAGAAACTTTCTGATGAAAATAATTCAAATACAACAAATCAAAACTCTGCGTTTTACGCTTCACCAATAACGCCACTGTCTCCAAACTCTTCCAAACCAAATTTTATTAAAAGAACAATTTCAAAAAATTTTAATGATTAAAAAAATCATATTTATTTATTTTATAGATAATTTTCTATTGTAATAATAAACAAAACAAATAATAATAATACTATCTTATTTTAAAAAATAGTATTATTTAAATCAAATCAAAGAACTTTTTTTTTATATGTTAATTAATTCTTATTTATTATTTTTATTTTTATTTTTATTTTTATTTTTTGATTAATTGTTTCTGTATTTAAATCCATTTCTTTTTCTTTGTATTGGTATTATTATTTAAATAACTATTGGCTAATTCATCAAAATTATCGGTATTCTTTCTCTTTTTATTATTGTTATTATTGTTGCTTGATTGTTGTTTTGAATCTTTAATTAATTTTTCTTTTTGTTGTTGGGTTAATTTTTTCTCGCCACTTGATTTTTCTTTAAGCTCTTTCATTAATTGTTTCTTTTGTTTAAGTAATTCTTTTTGTTTTTGTAATTGCTCGACATCGACACCTTCAGATTCTAATTTTTGTCTTTGTTGTCTCTTCTTTTCTCTTTGTCTTTGACCTCTACTTAATTTCTTGTCTTGATCTAAATCTTCACCGTTTTCTTTGGCTTGTTTCTTTAATATTGATCTTTCAATCTTTTGATCTTCTCTCTTTTTACTTAGTCTTTCTTGGTATTGCTTTTGTTTTTTAACAGCACGAGCATCTTCTACAGCAAATTGGACGAATAAACGTTGATCTTTTGATTTTGGATTGTTTGGATGGAAAAATATTTTGTTGTTGTTGTTTGCTTTGTGAAGAATTTCAAGAGCGGCTTGATGGTTTGGAAGCTCGATGAATGCATAACCTTTTGATTTTGGAATACCTTGGGATGTAATTCTTTCGCTATCAACTGCAACTTTGGCAAATGCAACTCTTTCTTTGAGACCAGCTTGTTTTAATATTTTAGAACATGAGTTTTTAAGGATGGCATCGGTGACGTGAAGTGGAAGGTTTCTTATACATAAACGGGTTGGCGAAACGTAATAATTTGGATTTACTTTTAATTTAGTTTGATTTTCTTTATCGGCAGATGATCTTAATTCCCAATCTTTTTCATTTAATTCTTTACCTTCAGCTGAACCTTGAAGAATTTTACCAATAAGTAACAAGTGTCTATTCTTTCTATCAACGTTTTCAACTTTCTTTTCTTTGAATGCATGAGCTTGTTTATGGTCAACGGCATAATCAACAATTAAATATCTACCATCCATTAATAAACCACCTTGAAGTAATGATGCTACTGAAAGTGTATTCTTTTTCTTATCTTTTTTATCTTTTTTATTATTTTTTTGAATTTTATCTTCTAATGATGGATCATAAAGTGGTACACTTGAACATGCTTCCATAGCTCTTTTAGCTGAATCCTTGTCATGATATTTAACAAATGCTTTACCTGTTGCTTTACCACTATCTCTATCTTTAACTAATCTACAAAATTCTAATTTACCAAATTGTTCAAATTTAGCACCTAAATCCTCTTCTTTTGTATCGAATGCTAAATTTCTAATAAATAAAGTTTTTAATTCGTCAACTTCTTTTTCTATAATATATACATTGAGAATAGAAAAAAAAAAAAAAGTATTAATATGTGTTAAAATTATTTTTAAATTAATAGGGCTAAGAAAATTCCCTTAAATCCATGCTTAGATATAATATTATAAACATACTATTTCTTGCGTGATCAATTTCCATTTTCTTTTTAACATCATTATCTTCTTCTTTCTCTGCTTTTTCATCATCTTCATCCATTTCTTCATCATCTTCGTCCATTTCTTCGTCATCTTCATCATCTTCATCATCTTCACCATCTTCACCATCTTCATCACCTTCATCATCCTCACTATCTTCATCATCCTCACTATCTTTATCATCCTCGCTATCTTCCTTAGTTTCCTTTTGGTCTTCTACTTTTTCCTCCTCATCTTCACTATCTTCAATTTTAACATCTTGTTTATTATCCTTTTGAACTTCATAATCATTTTGTTTTAATGTCCAATCGATTGCGATTTGTCTATTATTAATTTTTTGACCATTACATTCAGCAACAACTTTAGCACTGACTTCTTTTGATGAAAAGGTTAAAAATGCAAAACCTTTGGTAGTATTTGAATTTGGTTTGGTTGGTACTTTAACTAAAACTAATTCACCATAACTTGAAAATTTATCAATTAAATTTTGGATGGTGGTCTAAAAAAATTTTTAAAAATTATTAATATTAAAAAACTATAATATAAATATTTAAATAAATCAATACATACATTAAAACTTAAATTTCTAATAATAATTTCATTTGATTTGAAATCATCATTTTCAATTGAGAATGAAACTTTTTTACCATTATATTCTTTTTGTTTTGATAATTTATTTTCAAGAGTTTTTAAATCGTGTTGAGTATTTACGACAATTCTAACAGCATTATTTGAAAATGGAATTGAATAAATATTTTTAATAAGACCCTTCTTTAAACTGAGGAAATTTTGAACAGTGTTTTTATCGGTAACAAAATTATTTACAACAATAGCTAATTCATTTTTAATATTAAATTGTTTTTTATTATTTTTTTCTTTATTTTCTTCTTCTTGTTGTTGATCTTTTTGTGGTTGTTCTTTTTTTAATCTTTCTTTTGCAACTGAAACTTGAATAACTTTATTCTTAAACTGCTTATTATTTTTTTCTTTAATTGCTATCTCTGCATGTTCTGAAAGTGCATAGTAAACATAACCTATTCCACTACATATTTGTTCGCCCTTCTCGTTCTTTTTGGTAACAATAAAACATCTTTTAATTGGGCCGATATCACTGAAAAAGTTTTCAACCTCTTCATTGGTTGTATCTGTTGGTAAACCTTTGATAAAAAGTTGTTTTTGTTGATTCATTTATTGGTTTTAAATATATATTTTAAATAGATACAATATATAAATTTTAGAAATAAACACACAACTTAAATAAAAACGAAAGAAAATTTAAAAAAGAGTTTTTTTATTTTTTTTTTAAATTTTTTTCGTTTTTTTTTTTTAAATTTTTTTTTTATTTTATTTTAATTTTATTTTATTTTTTTAATAAATATAAATAAATAAATAAAAAAATAAATATTAAATATAAATGTAAAAAGATGAGATTTAAATTATTATTAAACAAAAATAAAATTAAAAAAATAAAAAAATAAAAAATAAAAAAAAAGGTGTTTTTATAGGGTTGTGTGAATTTTATTTTTATCTAAATTTATTAAAAGAAATCTTCATAGTCATCATCTTTGGCTACTAAAGGATTTGGACCATCATCTTCATCATCGTTGAATTTAATTGGTTTTGATGGTGGTTTGAAGTTACTATTAAATTTAGCAGAGTCATTTTCGCTATCGCTATCTTCATCTTGATTTTTTGTTACAAATGGATTACTATCGTGTTCATCATCACTATCATTAAATTTAACTGGTTTTGGTTGGGTTTTGGGTGTTGATGATTTGGGTGAACTATTTTTTGGCGATACAGTTTTTGGTGATGATTTTGGTGAAATGGTTGTTGGTGGTGATTTTGATAAAATGGGGTTTGATTTTGGTTTTGGTGAAGATGAAATTATTGGTTTTGGACTTGAGGCAACTGGTTTATAGTCATCATCCTCTGAATCATTAAATTTAACTTCGTCATTACCAAATGGATTAAAATCTTCAATTGCTGACTTTTTAGTTCCCATATTTGGTGATACTGAAAGAGCTATTTTTGGGGAGATTGCCATTGGTGAAGATTTTGGGGAGGTTGCTATTGATTTTGGTGATGCTGCTATTGGTTTTGGTGAGGTTGATAAACTTGTATTTGATTTTTGTTGTGTTGGGATTGCTTTAGGTGAAGTTATTGGCTTTGATAATGGTGATTTAGGTTTTGATATGGTGATAGAAACTGGAATATCATCATCTGATTCATCCTTAGCTACATATGGATTATAGTCATCATCAGATGATTCATCATTAAATTTAATTGGTTTATTATTTTTATTGGTAACTGGCTTATAATCATCTTCGTCTGATTCCCCAAACTTAACTTCATCGTTACCAAATGGATTAAAATCTTCAATTGCTGATTTTTTACTTGATTGTTTTGATGCTGGAGAAACTGTTGGTTTTGTTTGTTCAATAGTTACTTTTGGTGGTGATACCATATTGGTAGATTTTTGTTGTTGTGGTTGTTTTGGTGAGGTAATTGTTTTTGGTGGAGATACTATTGGTTGTGGTTGCGGTTTTGTTTGTTTTATTTGGGTTGGTTTAGAAACTACTTTCTTTGGTGATGAATAAAAATCATCCTCTTGTTTTGAAACCCATGGGTTGTTTGATTCATCGTCATCATCAGAATCACCAAATCTATCTTCCTGTGTCTGTTTGCCACCTATATTTATTAAATTTTTAATGATTGAGGATTTTGATGGCTTATCGTTATAAAAATCATCGTCATCATTTCCACCTGCAACGAATTCATCAACACTTGACAAAACCTCTGGCATCTTGGGTAAATTTTGTGGTGGTTGCTTTGGTTGTATTGGTTGTTGTGCTGGTTGTTGTTTATTTACAATAGCATCCTCCTTACTTGAAGATGAGAAAAATCTAGAAAAGAAGCCACCACTTGATTGAACTGGTGGTGATTGGGCTGGTTGTTGGGCTGGTGATGGTGGTGATTGAACTGGTTTTGGTTGTGGTTGTTGTTGGAGCTGTGGTTGTGGTTGATTTGATGGAGGTGATTGTGGGGTTGGTTGTGGATTTTGTTGTGGTGAAGGTGGTTGTGGTTGTTGCTGTTGTTGTTGTTTTTGTTTTCTAATAATAAAATCATTATAATTGGATTCTTTTAACATCAATTCTAATTCTTGTTTTGAAGAGATTAATTCAGCTTCATTTCTTTCTATTTGTTGGTGTAAAGATATTCTTTGCATTTCTAAAAATGGTATATTGAAGAATCTAACAATATTTTGTAAACCAAAAGCATTTAGCATTGATGCCTCAATATGGGAAATCTTTTCTCTTTTATTTAATAATAAGTTGATATCGGCCCAACTAACTACATTCTTTATGTCATCACCAATACCAATTGGGTTTTTATCCCTAAAATTTGAAATTACTAAAATATATTTATCTAGTGGTACCTTATCCATTTCTTTTTCGATGTATTTGTAGGTCCATTTCTTTGATGGGTCCATCATAAAGATAACTGCATTTACATTTTTATAAACATTTAAAGCTCTTGAATCCAAACCACCAAACTTAAAACTACCGCCAGTGTTCTTTAAAGCTTGAGAATTTATTGTTGAAGTAATTTTTTTTTCAATATCAAAAGTTTCAACATCATCATAAAATGATTCATCAACATCGCCAAACTCACTTTCTGCTGTTTTTACTGCTGATTCTGTTGTTGTTGCTGCTATTGCACTTGATTTTTGGGCTGTCATTTTTAATTTTGAACCACTTGCATTATTTGTTGGATTAGATATATTGGTGTTACTTGCAATATCTACAATATCCCAAATTTCGACATCTACAATATCATCTGTATCTAATAATAACAATAATAATAATAAAACCATATTAATATTAATCTACAATAATAGTATCATATTAATTAGATATTTACTTTTATAATCCCAGTTTATATGGGATATTTGGATTTCAGGTGTTGGTTTATATTGATCTGAAAATGGTAAGCCTTGTAATCTATTAAATAACGATGATTTACCTGTATTTCTTTCACCTCTAATAACAAATTTTACTATATTGTAAAGTAAAAAGAATTAGTGAATTTATGTTATAGAAACATTACAATTGTATGTTATATAACATACATGAGTATTTTATTGATTTATTATTTAACTTCATTTTAACATCACCATTCATTGTTCTGACTTCTGTGGGTGAAAGGATCCTTCCATTCTCGTTACCCATGTTTCGTGTTATATATACACCAAGCTATTTAAAATAACTTTAAAATATTTACACAAATAAACAAAGATATAAAATATATATTAAATAAATTTATACTATATTATAAAACATTAATAATAATAAAATAAAAAAGAAAAGTTAAAAAAAATTTCGTTGTGATTATAATTTTGATTTTTTTTTATGTAAATGAAAAAAAAAAATAAAAAAATAAAAAAAATTAAAAAAATTAAAAAAAAAAAAAAAAAAAAAAAATATGTTATAAATAAATTAACATAAAAAATATTTATTTTAGGAAAATAGTTATTTACTTGCTTATTTTATTTTACAACCCAATTTAGTAGAAAATGGTACATTTAAGATTTTCTATTTTAAATAATTTATTTCTATTTTTGATTTGGTTTACTTTTTTTTCAAATAAACAATTATTTTAATTTTTTGGGATTATTAAAAAAGTATAATTGTTTATCATCGCCACCTGCAATTAAATATTGACTGTCTTTTGACCAAACCATTGAATTTATTTTATTGATACCAATAAGTTCTATAGAGTCGATAACAGATCCATTTGAAAACTCCATAAAGCAAAGATATTTTTGATTTGCAGCTGCAATAACTTGATCATCTGGACTAACTGAAATCATATCAATAACACCAAAATTTGAAGTAACTGAATATAAAAGCTCTGGATCAACATCTAAACTATACTTGACATTTAATGAATATAATTTGATTGATTGGTCCTTTGATGAAGTAACAATTTTTAAACCATCTGAATTAAATGATACTGAATGAATACTCATCTAAAAAAAAAAAATATTAATACCAAATAATAAAAACAATAACATTATTAATAATAATTTACCTTAAATCCTGATAATGACATGACTCTTTTACATTGATCAATTTGACCATCTTTTTTCTTTAATGCTTCAAATACCTTTACCTCTGAGCTGAAAGTGGCTAAAGAAAAGAATCTACCATCAGGTGACATGGATGCCATGTATGCTTTAATTTGTGATGTGTTTATAGTTTGAACCAATTGACCTTTTAATGACCAAATTTTAACAACAGTATCCTCGCCACATGTTAAGATATATGGTGATTTATCACTTGAACAAATTGATTTAATCTCTGATTTTTGTTCCAATGGTACTGACCACAATTGTTCGTATGATTTACCTTGTGAATTTTTCTAAAATAAATAATTAGTATATTTAAATTATTAAAAATAAAAATAAAAATATGGTAATATTACTTGATCCAAAACATTAAATGCTATTAACTTTTTAGATTCATTTAAAACTGCATATAAAACCAACTGTGATCCATTTGAACCCCAGGAAATACAAGTTGCATTGTCGAATGGAAGTTGTAAACTGAATGATTGTGGTGGAGTCTTATTGCTACCGATCATTGTTTCATAAATAAACATTTTAACACTTCTTTCTGATCCACACAATGACAAATACTTGCCATCTGGGCTGAGCTTTAATGAGTTGACAACATCACCAGCTCTTAAAGATTTAAAAAATAACTTGTGTTGTTGTATTGTTGGTTTGCTATTTGCCTCTGCATTGCCATCGGTAGTAGCCTTCTTTTTTTCTCTTTCCTCTTTAATCTCCTCTTTTATTTTATTTTTACTTTTTTTTATTTCTGTTTTACCTGTATTACTATCTTTACTATTTGTAATATTTTTAGTTGATGATGAAGATGATTTATTTGATTTGTTTGGTTTCTTAAATAATTTGGATATAAGTAATAAGGTTACTACAAATACAAATATTGAAACCCCTATATAAGTTTCATTTCCCTTTATTTCCAACATTGTTTTTTTATTTGTATTTTTAATTAAAAAAAAAATAAAAATATTAATAATTTACAAAAAATAAAAAAAAAATTTTAATTTTTTTTTTTTTTTTTTTTTTAAAATTTTAATTGTAATCAAAAAAAAACAAAACAAAAATGGCAAGCAATTCAACTCAAAGAATTATTGGTGTATGTGGGTTAAATGCATCGGGAAAGAGCACAGTTTGCAACTATTATAGCAATAAAGGATTTTCTGTTATCTCATTATCCGATATAATCAGACAAACACTAAAAGAAAGAAATATACCAGAAACTAGAGACAACCTTATTAATCTTGGTAATGAATTAAGAAATAGTATGTACCTCAGTTTTATTTTTATTTTTTTAAATAAACCTTATGTTTACTAATACTAATTATAATTATTTTAGATAGTGGAGCGGGTGTATTGGCTAATTTAACAATTGAAAAATTAGATAAAAACTCAAATTATGTAATTGACTCTATTAGGCATCCAGATGAAGTTAATAGTTTTAGAAATAAATTCAATAGTGATAAAAAAAGATTCCATTTGATTGGGGTTGAAAGTTCACCAGAGACCAGATTCCAAAGAATTCAAAATAGAAATAGAATTGGTGATAATCAAACATTGGAACAATTTATGTTGATAGAAAAAAAAGAAATGAATAACCCTGATCCAAAAGGTCAACAAGTTGGAAAGGTTTTGGAAATGTGTGACTTTAGATTAAATAATGACTCTGACCAAACTTTAGAAAATTTAATAAAAGAAATTGATATTTTGGAATCAAAAATAAATAAATAATTTAATAAAATAAGAGTAAAGTCAAAGGAGGTTATTATTTTTTTTTAAAATTTTTTTTTATTATAAAACTTTATACAGGCATTTTTTTTTAAGGTTTTTGTTTTTTGTTGTTTTTTTTTTTTGTTGTTTTTTTTTCTAATCGTTTAGGGTCTTTTAAAATTATTATTATATGAATTTCAATTTAAAAATATATTGGTTATTGTTATGATTTTGTTACATTTGTGTTAAAAAAACTGTTTTTTTTTTTTTGATTTTTTTTAAAAAAATTATTTGTATTTTAAATTATTTTTAAATTTTTACATTCCTTGTTCTTGGTTTTCATTTGATTCATCATCATGTTTGTCCATGGTGTTGATATCTGAAGTCCATAAAGTAAGATTATCTCTTAATAATTGCATAATGAGGGTTGAATCTATTGGGGAAGCAAAATGAGGGGAAAGAAAAAAAAATTTTTAAAAAATAATTGAGGTGGTTAATAAAATTTCTTTTTTTTTTACAAAATATCATTAAATATAATAATTACCTTTGTATGAGTCTTCGCTAAGAGTATCTAATTCAGCAATAGCATCATCAAAAGCAGTTTTAGCTAAGTTGCAAGCTCTATCTGGTGAATTTAAGATTTCGTAATAGAAGACAGAGAAGTTAAGAGCAAGACCTAAACGGATTGGGTGGGTTGGTGGTAATTCAGTAACGGCAATATCTGAAGCTTCTTTGTAGGCAATTAATGAATTTTCAGCTGATGATTTACGTTGTGGACCAGTGGCGAATTCAGCGAGGTAACGGTAGTAATCACCTTTCATTTTGTAGTAGAAAACTTTTGATTCACCAGTGGTACTTGATGGAATTAAGTTCTTTTCTAAAACTTCAAGAATATCTTCACAGATTTTTGATAATTCTTTTTCGACAACTTCTTTGTATTCTTTGATTTTTTTGACGTGGCTTTCGTTACCTTTGCTTTCTTCTTTTTGTTCAATTGATGAGATGATTCTCCATGAAGCACGACGAGCACCAATAACATTTTTGTAAGCTACTGATAATAAATTACGTTCTTCAACAGTTAATTCTAAATCTAATTGGGCGACTTTTTTCATTGCATCGACCATTTCTATAATAAAAAATAAAAAATTATTATTAATATTATTATTATTATTTTTTTTTGTTATTTTTATTATTATAGTTATTATTTTAAATTTTAAATTTTAAAAAAAAAAAAAAAAGAATCACACTTTTTTTTTTTTTTCATATTAAAATTTTTTTCTGAATAAATATAACTATTTTTATTATTATAAACTGATTAAAATAAGTTTCTATTTTACCTTCATATCTTTCAGCTTGTTCGGCAAGTTTAGCCATATAAACGTTTTCTTCTCTGTTTGATGATGTAGCCATTTTAATAGGTATTTATAAAAAAGGGTTAAAAAAAACTGTATTGGGTTGAAATTGTTTTAAATTGAGAAAAGAAAAATAAAGATATATTAGTATTTATTTTAATTATTTATTGTTTAGAAAAAAATAAATGTTTTGAATAAATGTATTTTTTTTTTTGTATGTTTTGAAAAGTATTTTTATATGTAAAAAAAAAAATTATGGGGGGGGGGCTTCCATTATAAAATAGATGGGGGGTAAACAATAAAAAAAATTAAAAAAAAAAAAAAAATTTATGATTGAACTAAAAAAAAAAAAATTAAAAAAAAAAATTAAAAAAAAAAAAAAAAAAAAA